AAATAATTTTTTTTTTTAAAGTCAAAGTTTCGTTAGCTTCTTCAAATTTTCATTTAAATTTTGTCATTCTATATATATATATTATAAGATGTTGAAAAAATTTTCTTTATTTTTTTCTTTTTAGAACTGCAAAAAACTTTTTTTTTTTTTTTTTAATATTAATGCCAAATTTTTTTCAAGATTCACTAAATTTTCATTTTGAAACTTTTTTTTAAAATTCTGTATCACACACTTTTAAAAAATATTGAAACTTTTTTTTTCAAACAACAAAATATTTACAATTAAAAATAAAAATTAAAAATATCATTGAAGAATCGAATTTGACCCGAATACTAGAGACGAATATAACAATAACAAAAAAAAAAAAATGGCATCTCTTGTGTGTTAACGAATTTTTATTGAATTTATTAAAATGTAAATATATCACAAAATGGAGAGTAAAGTGAGTTTTATTGGTAGCACATTGAACGTATATATATATATATATATATATATATATATATATACAGAAAACGGTTTTAGTTTTGTATGTGTGTGCGTCGGTGTTTTCTTTATACCTCGTTAATTTCGAATAAGCTACTACTACTTCACGTCAAGCCCGGAGCTCCGATACTCAGTATTTTTGCAATTCCACGCGGATGGGCGCAACAGGCGGCATTTCCCACATACACGCTCCAAGTGCCCAACCAACTTGCCTAACGTATTGCGCACCTATATATATATATGTGTGTATTTTCACACACACACAAATGCGTATAGATACATTACGAAATGCAGTTCACTTGCACACACCTTGTCCACACTAAATTGTAGTCGACGTGCCTCTACACATGTTCACGAATATATATTTATCAACATAGATATCGTCATGCTGTGATAGGCGATCGTAGCGTAAACTTCAATTTACCCTGGAGGTGCAGAGGCCAATATTATAAGTTTTCAACACAGAGAGAGAGAGAGAGAGAGAGAGAGAGAGAGAGTCTATTCAAAACAAATGCTACATTGCTTCCAAAATAACGTCGCGCAAGTATGTGATGTATTTTTTATATATATATATATATATATACAGAAAACACACGGTTTTTAGGTTATACGTTTATAATCTAAACATGAATTTTTTTTTATTTAGTTTTAATTTTTAGGTTACTAATGGCATTAATAACGTCCCATGTAGTACTCATAATATTACAAATAATATTAAAATTTTCGCCTCATGGTAATATTATCCATAGTAATATATTACAGTAATATTACCAAAAATTTTAAAAAACACTTAAAAATATTTAATTTTTTAATATTCCCAGACAGCACGTAAGCTTGCAGCAACCTTGCGGCAAACTTGCCACGCAATATTATCAAACTTGCACGGCAAGCTTTAAATGTCCCATCTAACACAAGCTTGTATAGTAAGCTTGCCAAAACATTGCAGTGTAAAATTACTGCAAAATTGCAAAGTAAGATTAACACAAGATTGCATATTGCAAGGTTAACGAAAAATTGCAGTGTAAGGTTACTGCAAGATTGCACAGTAAGGTTATCGCAAGATTGCTTATAGTAAATAATGCAAATTTGCTGCAACCTTCTGTGCTGATTGGCAAGGTTATTTGGCAACCTTGCACCAACCATGCGGCAAGCTTACTAAGCAATCTTGCGATAACCTTACTGTGCAATCTTGCAGTAACCTTACATTGCAATCTTTCGGCAAGCTTGGGTGAAGTGGGACATTTGAAGCTTTGCTGCAAAAACTTGCCATGCAAGGTTGGCAATAATGCGCGGCAAGCTTGCCGCACGGTTGCTGCAAGCTTACGACGTGCTATCTGGGAATTCTAATCTTTTTGTGTTTTATTTTAAAAAAAAACTTTTGAAATTTTTATGTATTTTAAATAAACGTGTAATATTAACATAATTAACAATAATTAACCGGTAATATTACCTTGAGGCGGACATTTTAATATTACGTGCTACTTGGGGTTGTCTTTGACATTTGACATAACCTTAAAATTAAACACGGCACTTTTTGTAAAAAATACACAGCACTGATTATAAGAAATGATATAAAAAGCATTATTATTAATATTATTATTATTATTATTATTATTATTATTATTATTATTAATATTATTATTGTTATTATTATTGTTATTATTATTGTTATTATTATTATTATTATTATTATTATTATTATTATTATTATTATTATTATTATTATTATTATTAATATTATTATTGTTATTATTATTGTTATTATTATTGTTATTATTATTGTTAGTATTGATTGTTATAACTATATTACACTGAGAAAATATATGCTTTTGAATCAATAATTTTTATACCTTTGGCATAATTTTTATTATTTCAAAAAAGCAGGCGTTATTTTGTCCCGGGCCAATCAGTAATTTTAAAAAATTTACCCAGAAAATAAAATTACCTAAGGTACGAAACGACGGTAAATTAAAATTTAATAAATTTTGTCAGTAGCGTATATTAAACAAAATTAATTGTGGGACATTTGTCCTGTATAGTGTATATATATATATATATAGTTACCAAAAAATAATTGTTATGGAAGTAATTTGGGAAAAAATTTTTTTTGCAGTTTTGGAAACAAAATATAAACAAATGTAAATGTTAAGAAAAATTTATGAAAATTTGGATTCAAAATTAGAATTTTTTGTTTTAAATTAATTTCATATGAATTTTAATTTATTATTTGCTAATCAAAAAAAAAAATTTTTTTGCAGTTCTGAAAAAACAATATAAACAATGCTTATAACAATTTAATAACAATAAAAATAATAATAATAATAATAATAATAATAATAATAATAATAATAAATAATAATAATAATAACAATTTTATTTTATTATTTGAGAAATAAAAAATTATTGCAGTGCAATTTAAGAATTATGTAAACAACAATAATATTTGTAAATATTTTGAAAAAAAGGTTTAGTAAAATTAAAAAAAGAGATTTATAATTAGAAATCAATTATTTAAATTTTTATTTATTATTTTTTAAATGCGTATACCTAAATATTTCTTTTTCAAAAAATGTTTTGCAAACTTTTAGTATAATACAATTTTAAAAAAATTAAAAATAATTGTTACGATAAATACTTGAATTAATTTTAGTTTAATTTTTTTATTTACGTTTCTTACTTTCTAAATATAAATTATTCTGAACGGTGTGAAAATTTAAAATTATTATTTATGTTTTATTAAAAGTAAAAAAAAAATATTTTGCACTTAAATTTTTTTATTTTTTGAAAAAATTGAAATTTTAACGATTTTTCGTAATATTTTATATATTATTTTATTATTTTACTTTATTAAAAATAATAAATTTTTTTACTACTTTAAATTACTTTTATATTTTAGAAATTTTTTTTGTTTTTTTTTTTGAAAAAAATGAATAATTCGCATTGATTTTTGATATTAATTCGTCAATATAATGAAAATAATATATATTTTTAATATTAAATATTTAAGAAAATTGTAGCAAATTTCGTGTATGTGGTGCCATCTATGTGTCACATGATGAAAATGGTTTTTTAAATTTTAAGCACTGTCGATGGTAAAGAAACTACCTTCACGAGAATCAATTACCATAAGTTTCAAGTTATCATGCGTTCGTTACGGATAAAACAGAATTGGTTACCGACGGTAGGAAACAAAAATTGATAAAACCGAGCGTGTCACTTAAATCATTTACCAACCGCAGATTAAATATTTTTTTAAAAATCCCTTTTTTTATTTTTTCATTAAAAAAAAATATTGTTATTTAATTAATTTTATTGTTAAATTAAATTAATTACACTTCCACAAATTTCTATTAAACTTTTTTTGTTTTATAATTAATTTTTAAATTTAAATTTCTTTTTTTTAATTAAGAAATAATATAAAATATTATAAAAATTACAAATTAAAAAAATATAAATTTTTAAAATATAAAATAATATAAATTTTTTTTTTCAATTTATCAATTAATTGATAGTAAATTTTATTTTATTTAACAATTTTTTTTATTTCAACTTTTAACGATTTTTCATAAAAAAAATTTTTTTTTTTCAAGGAAAATGTTAAATAAAATTTTTTTTTTATTATGATAAATATAAAATGTAATATATTTATTTATTGCAAGATAAAATTAGTATATTTCATTATTCAATCTAATTAAATATGTGTTTCATGTAATCAATCAAATTTTTATGTTAACATTTGATTACTTTTTATCTAGTCATTTCTCCATAGTCTATTTAGGGAAATAATAGAATTTTGTCATTCTATTAATAAAGTGTGATCCTTACTTAAGAATAAAATTATATTACAAATAATAATAATAATAATTATTATAAATATTTTGGATTAATTTTAATATTATTATAATATTTATTATTTATTATTATTATTACTATTATTATTATTATTATTATTATTATTATTATTATTATTATTATTATTATTATTATTATTATTATTTATAAATTTAAATTTATAAATTAAAATAATAATTATTGTAAATAATAATAATTATTATTATAAAAAAACTAAGTAATAAATGTATTATAAAATTTCTTTTTCTTTTTTGAAAAATGTATCAAAGAAATAAGCGGATTTTCCATTTGACAGAAAGTAAGTTTTATATTTTTTAATTAATATACGTATATTTGTATATGAATTACTTTCGTACTTGTGACTAAAGCAAAAAAAAAAAAATTAATTTCATTTTACATGAAATATATTGTAAATTATTTATTAATTATTAATTATTTATTAGATAATTATTTATTTTTTTTTATATTTTTGAAATTTTAAACAATTAAAAAAAATTATATTTTTCATTATCACAGAAACTCGTGGAAAAAAACAAGCACAGAGTCCCTCATCTGATTCAATAATAATAACAACTAATGATAAAATAAAATTGTCCGAATTGGAAAATGGAAGAAAAAAATTAACAAAAAACAAACAATTAAATTGTTCATTTAATTTATTAAAATTTTACATTTCACGAAGTACAATTCATGGTGTTAAATATATTTTAGATCCTGAACTTCATTTAATTGAAAAAATTATTTGGCTTATTTTTGTCATTATTTCCATTTGTCTTACTGCTAATGTTTTTGTTATAATGGTAACTGATTTCCAGGTAAATAAATAATTATTATTGTTAATTTATAAATTATTATCATTATTATTATTATTATTATTATTATTATTATTATTATTATTATTATTATTATTATTATTATTATTATTATTATTATTATTATTATTATTATTATTATTATTATTATTATTATTATTATTATTATTATTATTATTATTATTTAAATTATAAAATAATAAATTTAATAACATAATAATTTTTATAAAATAGTGTAAAATTTTTTAAATTAAATAACATTTTTATTACTTTTTTTTTTAAATATTAGGCAGCGCCAACGGAAGTTATTATTGAATCGACAAATTATCGAGTATCGTTTTTGCCATTTCCAAGTGTGACTATTTGTCCAATTAATCGTGTTGATTGGAAAAAAGCAATGAAATTGGAGGATAAGATTTCTAATAATTCTGATGTCATTGAAAATTATAGAAAATTAGTTGCCACTTTATCTGAAATGTCATTTGAAGGATTATATAAATTAAATTTTTTAAATCAATCATACTATAAAGAATTGTCAGGTGAGTATAATATTATCTATATATATTATATAAATTAGAGTGATTTAAAAATATATTTTATTGAAAAAAAGGCGATAAAAAATATACTTTCTTTTTTTTTTTATTAAAATATATTGAACCGTGTTTTAATGCCCTTAAAATTTTGCAAAAAAAATATTATAAATAGAAATAAAAAACGTTTCTTTTGGGAAATTTTATATTAAATCTATAAGAAAATAAATATTTTTTCTACCGGATTACTCTGTCTCAATGAATTTAAGTCTCAATGGTCTCAACAGTCGCAAAGGTCTCAACAGTTCCAAGTCTCAACTATTTTAACAGTCTCAATAGACCCGAGTCTCAAACGCCTTAAGTCTCAATAGTTTCAACAAATTCAACTGTCTCAACAGTCGCGCAGGGACTTCAAGTCTCAACTTCTTTAAATATCAACAGTTTTGAGTCTCAATAATTTTAACAGTCTCAAGTATCAACAGTCTCAACAGTTTTAACAGTTCCAAGTCTCAACGGTCTCAAAAGTCCCGAGTCTGAATGGTCATGAGTCTCAACAATCTCAATGATCTTTAACGGTTTTAAATTTCAATGGTCTCAATAGTTTTAATGGTCTTAAGTTTCAATTGTCTCAATGACCTCAAGTATCAACCGTCTCATCGGCTTTAAGTCTCAATAATCTAAACAGTCTCAAGTCTCAATAATCTGAACGTCCGATGTCTCAAAGGTTTCAAATCTCAATATAGTCTCAACAGTTCTAAGTCTCAACGATCTCAATAGTCTCAACAGTCTTAACGGTCCCGTGTCTCTAAGGTCTCAATTCTCAATAGTCTCAACAATCTCAACAGTCGCAGAGAATTTAAGTCTTAACAATCCCAAGAGTCTCCAGTCTTAATGATCTTAAGTCTCAATAATCTTAACGTCTCATGTCTCAAAGGTCACAAATTTGAATAGTCACAACAGTTCCAAGTTTCAACAATACCAACAGTCTCAATAATCTTAAAGTTCCGTTTCTCAAATGTCTCTAATATCAATAGTCTAAACAGTCTCAAGCCTCAACGATCTCAATAGTCTCAACGGTCTTAAGTCTCAACCATATCAAATTTTAACAGCCCCGAGTCTCAATAATCTTAACGTCCTGTATCTCAAAGGTCTCAAATATCAACAGTCTCAAGCCTCAACAATCTCAATAGTATCAAGGGTCTTAAGTCTCAACAGTTTCAATTGTTTTAACAGTCCCCAGTCTGAATAGTCTCAACAGTCTCAAGCCTCAACAATCTCAATATTCTCAACGGTCTTAAGTCTCAACAGTTTCAACTGTTTTAACAGTTGAATAGTCTGAATAGTCTCAGCAGTCTCAACAGTCTCAATAGTCTCAAGTCTCAACAGTCTCAATATGAGAATCTTTGAAAATTTCTGAAAAGAAACAAAATAGAACAGTTTGGAAAATATTATTTTTTTCAGATTTTACATAAAATTTTTTTCCCACATTAAATTAAGATCGAAAAATAAATTAACTTGTTTATTTAATTCTAAATATTAGAATAACCAAAAAAATAAATTTTATTACCAGATCTCAACGTAACTGACATAATGTTTAAAATTATGCCCAATTGTGAGGATTTACTCGTCAAATGTCAATGGCGGAATTTTCCACAAAATTGTTGCAATATTTTTCAAGTTCAAAAATCTGAACACGGATTTTGTTATTCATTCAATTCATTAATTTCGGAAAATTCATCAGCCGTCAATGAATTGAATATGAAAAAAGTTACCGGCTATGGTAGTCGATCAGGACTACAAGTTTTTGTTGAATTAAACAATATCACTGTTCCACCAAGTAATTATACATATATAAAGTTTAAAAAAATCCATAAATTATATTTTTTTATTCATTTTGAATTTAAAAAAAAAAAATTTTTTAATATTTTTTTTCTTAAATTTTTAACTATTTTATTTTAAAAAAAAATTTTACAGATAAATATCGTGAAAAAAAACAGCAAATTGAATCGGGAATATTTATATCAATAAATGATCCTCTAGTGTGGCCAAAAGTGATAAATAGAATTAAGGCCGGATCAATAGCAAATATTAATGTAAAATGCACATCGGGTTATGCATCGGATGATGTATTAAATTTATCACCAAGTAAAATACCATGTCGTTTAATGGATCACAAGAGAAATGTGAGATACAGTCAAGAGACTTGTATATCCGAATGTAGACGTGAACATGTTATTAAACATTGTCAGTGTAATCCATCTTTTTATTTTGCATCAGGTAAAAATAAAAAAAAAAAAATTTTTTTTTTTGTAGTCCCTTTATTACTATACAAAAAGCAGCAGAATAAGGGGACGCTACGACTTGTGGAAAAATAATAAAAAAAATTCTTTTTTTTTGTTCCAGTGAAAAATATCTCATCTTGTAGGGTAAAAGACTTAAAGTGTCTTTACGAGAAGCGAGGTAATAATAATAAATAAAAAAATAATAGTTTAATAATATTATTCATAAAATTAAAGAATATATTAGTTTAATAATTATTTGATATAATTAGTTTTTAGGGTTTCGTGGCTTAGGCCCGAAATCCTTATAGTTCAGCTTTAGCGTCCGTGTGTCCGTCCGTCCTACACTCGTATGGTTGCCATGGCAACTGTTTCCATAGCAACCGTTACTACAATAACGGTTACTATAGTAGCCATTACGGTAGTAACCTTTACCGCAGTAACCGTTGCCGTAGCGACCGATACCAAAGTAACTGTTACCATAGTAACCGTTACCATAGTAACACTATAGTACTATATATATACTACAGTAACCGATACTATAGTAACCGTTACCATAGTAACGGTTACCATAGCAACCGTTACTATAGTAAGCGTTACTATAGTAACCGTTACCGTAGCAACCGATACCAAAGTAACTGTTACTATAGTAACAATATAATACTATATATATACTATAGTAACCGATACTATAGTAACCGTTACCATAGAAACCGTTACCGTAGTAACCTTTAACGCAGTAACCGTTGCCGTAGCAACCGATACCAAAGTAACTGTTACCGTAGCAACCGTTACTATAGTAACCGTTACCATAGTAACCGTTACTATAGTACTATATACGTATATATACTATATTAACTATAGTAACCGTTACTATAGTAAACGTTACTATAGTAACCGTTACTATAGTAACCGTTACTATAGTAACTGTTACCATAGCAACACTTTAGTACTATATATACTATAGTAATCGATACTATAGTACCCGTTACCATAGTAACTGTTACTATGCAACCGATACCAAAGTAACTGTTACCGTAGCAACCGTTACTATAGTAACCGTTACCATAGTAACCGTTACTATAGTACTATATACGTATATATACTATATTAACTATAGTAACCGTTACTATAGTAACCGTTACTATAGTAACTGTTACCATAGCAACACTTTAGTACTATATATACTATAGTAACCGATACTATAGTACCCGTTACCATAGTAACTGTTACTATGCATCCGATACCAAAGTAACTGTTACCGTAGCAACCGTTACTATAGTACTATATATGTATATATACTATAGTAACTATAGTAACCGTTACCGTAGTAACCGTTAGCATATTAACTGTTACCATAGTAACACTATAGTACTATATATATACTATAGTAACCGATACTGTAGTAACCGTTACCATAGTAACTGTTACTATGCAACCGTTACCATAGTAACAGTTACTATAGTAACCGTTACTATACTAACCGTTACTATAGTAACCGTTACTATAGCAACCGTTAGCATAACTAATAGTTATTTTACAATAAATTTTTGTTATAATAAGAAATAATTATTTTACAATAATTAATTTCAGTTTTGGAAATTATAGATTGAAATTTATTAATATTATTATTGATTATTAACAATAGGAAAATTTGACAATTACCAAAACCCGGGAGATGATAATTTCAAAGAAGGCACGCAGGATGTTATGACATGTGATTGTCCACCTGCTTGTGATTATTACAATTACGAGGAGAAATTACTCACAGTGTCAGTTGTGAATAAAAATATATCGCTGGATATTCATTATGAGGGACCAACGAGTATTCGTTACAAAATGAACGTTGTAACAAGTGGTTTAAAATTATTAGGTAAGGAATGAAAAAAAATTCTTTGAAAATATTTTTTTTTTAATTTCCGAGAAATAGAAGATTTTTTGCGTCATTTCTGTCCTCAAGAGTTTGATAGAAATGCGCTGATTGGCTGAAGCTCGTTACTCACCACTCTTGAGCGCGGTGAACGAGTAACGATTGACGCGTTACTCATCCCCACTCCTCAAGTAGTGGGAGCGTAATGTTTGGCTCTTCCCCCACTCCATGGGTCAAATAGACCCGAGCATTTTTTTCTCGACAAAATCTTTCTATCGATTGTTTGTTCGGACATTTTTGTAATTTCGGACAAATAAAAAAATTCGGCTTCTAAAAAAAATTCTATCAATTAAAAATTCATACAATTGAAAAAAATTCGGACAAATTTGAAATTCAGTGAATTTGAATTTCTGTTATTTACAAATTCAAATCATATAAAAATTCGATATTAAAAGAGAATTTAATGATTTTCAACGTCTAAAATGATGTAAAAAAAATTTAAAAAAAATTTTTTTTTTTCTATTTCCAGTAAATTTTGGTGGTGTTTTTGGACTTTTTGTCGGTGGATCAATAATCAGTCTCATTGAACCAATTTATTTTTTACTACGTGGAGCATTCTGTCGACTTTATTTATATCTAAATTCAAAAACAAAGAAAGAAAAAAAAGATGCATTTCATCAGGAACCATTAAAACTTTATCTTTCAGATTTTCCACAAAGTCAACCAATTTTCACATCTAAATTTCATGTTACCAATGATAGATTTTAAAAATGATTTTCTCTTTAATTAGTTTATTAATAATAATATTAATAATTATTATTAATAATTATACAAATAATAAATCATTATTATTAATAATAATATTAATAATAATACAAATAATAAATCATTATTATTAATAATAATATTAATAATAAATAATAATTACTATTAATGATAAAAAAATTTTATATATTTATTTTTAACATTTAATTATTAAATATTAAAAATTATTGTAGAAAGAAATTTTTTTTGGTACGTTGTAAAAAAATATTGAAAAATTGTTTTGTACCTAAAATATAAATAAAAGAAAAAAAATTATTATTAAAATTATTATTATTCATTTTTTTCAATTATTTATATAAATTCACAAATTTCTTTAGATAAATTAGCTTAGAATTTTTATAAATTTCCCAAAAAATTCTATAAGTTACTCCAAATTACCAAAAGTTACTGAAAATTAGCTTAAGTTACCACAAATTTCCATACATTTTCATAAGTTACCATAAATTACCAAAAGTTACTGAAAGTTAGCTTTAATTACCAAAAATTTTCATAAATTACCATAAATTTCTATAAGTTACTATAAATTTCCACAAATTTCCTTAAATTACTTAAAAGTTACTAAAAATTACTATAAATTACTAAAAATTTTCATAAATTTCCATAAATTACTTATAAGTTACAAAAACATACTATAAGTTACTATAAATTTTCATACATGTTCTTAAATTATTTAAAAGTTATTAAAAACTACCATAAATTACTCATAATTTATATAAATTTCTATAAATTACTTATAAGTTACTGAAACTTACCATAAGTTACTATAAATTTCCATAAACTTCCGTAAATTACTCATAAGTTACTGAAACTTACCATAAGTTACTATAAATTTCTTTCAATTACTCATAAGTTACTAAAAATTACTATAAGTTAATATCAATTTTCATAAATTTTCTTCAATTACTTATAAGTTACTATATATTTCCATAAATTACTTATAAGTTACCGAAACTTACCATAAGTTACTATAAATTTCCATAAATTTTCTTAATTATTTAAAAGTTACATTATTATTAATAGTAATATTAATAATAAATAATAATTACTATTAATGATAAAAAAATTTTATATATTTATTTTTAACATTTAATTATTAAGTATTAAAAATTATTGTAGAAAGAAAATTTTTTTGGTACGTTGTGAAAAAATATTGGAAAATTGTTTTGTACCTAAAATATAAATAAAAGAAAAAAAATTATTATTAAAATTATTATTATTCATTTTTTTAATTATTTATATGAATTCACAAATTTCTTTAGAGAATTTAGCTTAGAATTTTTATAAATTTCCCAAAAAATGCTATAAGTTACTCCAAATTACCAAAAGTTACTAAAAATTAGCTTAAGTTACCACAAATTTCCATACATTTCCATAAGTTACCATAAATTACCAAAAGTTACTGAGAGTTAGCTTTCATTACCACAAATTTTCATAAATTACCATAAATTTCTATAAGTTACTATAAATTTCCACAAATTTCCTTAAATTACTTAAAAGTTACTAAAAATTACTAAAAAATAACTAAAAATTTTCATAAATTTCCATAAATTACTTATAAGTTACAAAAACATACTATAAATTACTATAAATTTCCATACATTTTCTTAAATTATTTAAAAGTTACTAAAAACTACCATAAATTACTCTTAATTTCCATAAATTTTTATAAATTACTTATTAGTTACTGAAACTTACCATAAGTTACTATAAATTTCCATAAACTTCCTTAAATTACTCATATGTTACTAAAACTTACCATAAGTTAATATCAATTTTTATAAATTTCCTTCAATTACTTATAAGTTACTATATATTTCCATAAATTACTTATAAGTTACTAAAACTTACCATAAGTTAATATCAATTTTTATAAATTTCCTTCAATTACTTATAAGTTACTATATATTTCCATAAATTACTTATAAGTTACTGAAACTTACCATAAGTTACTATAAATTTCTATAAACTTCCTTAAATTACTCATAAGTTACTATCAATTTTCATAAATTTCCTTCAATTACTTATAAATTACTATAAATTTCCACAAATTTCCACAAATTTTCCTTAATTTTTAACATTTAATTATTAAATATTAAAAATTATTGTAGAAAGAAAATTTTTTTGGTACGTTGTGAAAAAATATTGAAAAATTGTTTTGTACCTAAAATATAAATAAAAGAAAAAAAATTTAATATGTGAAAAAAAAAAATTTTTTTCTAGTTTTTTTTTTTTTTTTTTATATAAATTATATAACTTATATAAATTATAGAATTTACAAAATAAAAAATTTGATCAATATTTGTCAAAAAGTGAAAAAATAATTTTATCCTTTCATCAATCATTCGACAATAATTGGGTTTACATATATTCTATTTACTGATTACTAATGTAATTTTATTAATTATTCATGATTATAATAATGGTATAATTATTTCAAAAATTTTTTTTTATTGTTCACTTTACTCTTTTTTCTCTTCTACTTTAACAGAAAAAAAAATTATAATAAGGATTTTTTTTTCAAAAAAAAAAAAAAAATATACTTTTTCCCTTGATTTTTAAAAAATGCAAACAACAAAAATTCGAAATATTAATTGCGCTTGGGGTAAGTTTTGTATATATTTAATTTTTCTAAAAAAAATAATTTAACATAATAACTATTTACTCAAAACAAATAAAATTGAAAATAATAAATAATAATACACATTTTTTTCTTGTAAAATTGCACACATTTTTGAAATTAAGAAAATAAAGAAAAGAAAAATAAGAAATATATATTTATATATAAAATTCTTTTACAGAAGTAAATGAAAGAAAAAAGAAAAATTACAAAAAATCTTTTAATTGGATTAATTATAAAAAATCAAAAATTATTACAAAAGTGAAAAAAGTGGTAAAAAAAATTGATAAAAATGAACAATTTAGAAAAAATGAAAATTTAACAAAATTTTCAATCCCCTATTGTAATTTACATGGTTTATCATTTATTTTTAATTCTGAAATGCATATTATTGATAAAATTATTTGGCTCATTTTTATGTCGATATTCATTTTTTTTACTGCCCAAGAAATGGTGAAAATAGTTTCAAAATATGAGGTAAATTTTTTTTTATATATTATATAAAATTATCATTATTATTATTTTTATTATTTATTTAAATATTAATTAATTTTTATATTTATTTACTTATTTATTTATTTATTTATTTACATGTGAACGGGCTTAAAAAAGGAAAAAAAAGTTTAAAAATATTATTTTTATTTTTTTATTAATATTATAATAATAATAATAATAATAATAATTATTATTATTATTATTATTATTATTATTATTATTATTTTAAATTTGGAGGCAAAAATTTATTTTCTTTTTCACATATATATATATACATTTAGGATTCTCCAACAGCAGTTGTCATAGATTCGTCGAGTTATCGAGTTTCTTTCTTGTCATTTCCAAGTGTGACAATTTGCCCCAAAAAAAGAATCGATTGGAATAAAGCTTTGGAATTGGAAAAAAAAATTATACCATCAAATGATTTAGAAACAATAAAATTGTATAGAGGATTAATAAATATTTTGTCAATAATGTCATTTGAAAATTTTGCCGCAATGCAACATTTCGTCGAAGATGATATTGCTTCATCAAAATTAGCACGTGAGTAGTATTTTTTAATAAATATATATATATATATATATATATATATATATTTTTAAAAATTGAAGATAATTTCTACATTACTCAATGTTTTTTACATAAATTTTATACATTTTGGGGTAAATTTTCACATATTTGGGGTAAATTGTCACATATTTGGGGTAAATTGTCCCATATTTAGAGTAAATTGTCATAAATTTGGGGTAAATTATCATATATGTTTTAAATAAGTTACGATATATAAGTTTTTACTTTAGAATAAATTATGTCATATATGCGGGGCAAAATGACACTAAAGGCGGGGTAAAATGATACAAAGGTTGGAGTAAAGTAACACTAAAGATAGGTAAAATAATGCACATTTGGAAATAAATTACCACATATATTTGTAATAAGTATTGTCAGACGTTTAGAGTAAATTATCACATAGTCGGGGTAAGTTGTAACTTCATGTCAATCATTTTGGGGTGAGTTGTTACACGTTTTAAAAATTAGTTTATGAGTTACCGCATATACGTTTCAGGTATATTAACC